CAATACTTTGCACCATCAATAAAGATAACAATAGATTAGAATTTTTAGTGTCCCGAACATTGCATCATGTACAGATTTTATGCAATGTTGGAAAACATTTATATTATATACTGCATGTATATAAATGAGCATAGAAGTTGCATCATCTACACACTTTGCACTGTTGAAAAGATGAGCATTTGTTTTAGAACGAACATTATATAGTCTAAACAATGTTGAAAGGAGGTTAATAATAAATAATAATACCTGATCACGTTATCAAGTCTCAAAGCATTACACAGGACTTACTGTGAAGTGTGCAGTGACTATTTGTAAGCTAACATGGCAATATGCAGAAATCAACATCCCACAAAAGGCCATGAACAGAAATACAATGACAAATTTTATGAGGGAATGTTGGCCAGGACACAGGGAGAAACTCCCTTCTGTTTTCAAATATAAGGCCAATGGATCTTTAACGTCACTCGAACAGACCGAGACGGGGCCTGGGTTTAACGTCTCATCTGAATGACTGTATCTCCGATGATGTGGCGCTCCCTGAACACTGCTCTAACCAGGCTCCGCTGCCAAAGAACACATCGATTTCAAGAACCTCAGTCTCCCTTAGTTCATGTCCTGGCACCTCCCTACCTTTCCCATCTGCTCACATACTCTCCGCTACCTACCCCCTTCGCTCATCTTACTCAGGGCACGTCCCTCATACTCTCACTCCACCAATGGTGGCCGTGCTTTCAGCCACTTGGCCCCGAATCTACGGAACTCCCTGCCTCAATCCCTCCGTTTTGCCCGTCTTCAGTTCCACCTGAAGACTTTCCCTCTTCGGCGTTGCCTTCAGTCACATCCTCTCTCTCTTTCCAGCTCGGCATCAAATAATCTACGCTGAGCACATCTACTTCGACGCAGCCGGTAAAGTGCGCCTGCGGTGACGGGTCAGAACCTCACCTCCAGCCGGCTAAGCGCGGGAGTTTTGCGTTACGAGTTAGGAGATGATTTGCTTCATAAAATACGACGAGCGCAAAGAAATGCAAATGTAAACGTAAGTTGTTTTGAGGGGGGGGTAGGAAACTGAACGGGGCTCGGGGACATGTACGAGTCATATAACTTAACAACAACAAGACAATTCCATTCATAGAGCGCCTTTCACGTCGGGAGGACGTCCCAAGGCGCTGTACAGTTGGGTCAGCACCCGAGCAGGGGGGAAATGGTCAGGTGAGGGGAGGGAAGGGAGGGAGCGAGGAGGGGGTAGAGAGTCGAGAGGGGAGCTGAAGGCACAGTCAAAGAGAAAGGTCTTGAGACCGGCCTTGAAGGAGGAAAGGGAGGAAGCGAAGGCAAAGGCACTGGGGGATAGAGTTCCAGAGCCTCGGGGCTGAGAGGCTGAAGGCCACCGATGGTAGGGCGGTTGGGGCGGGGGATGTGGAGCAGACCGGAGCCAGAGGAACGGAGGGTATGGGCAGGTAGGTAGGGGGATAGCAGGTTGGAGAGGTAGGAGGGAGCGAGGCCGTGAATGGTGAGGGCGAGGGTGAGGATGAGGGTTGGAATGAGGGTGAGGGTGAGGGCGAGGGAGAGGGTGAGGACGAGGATGAGGGTGGGAGTTAGAGTGAGGGTGAGGGCGAGGGTGGGAGTGAGGGTGGGAGTGAGGGTGAGGGAGAGGGCGAGGGAGAGGGCGAGGGTGGGAGTGAGAGTGAGGGCAAGGGTGAGGGCGAGGGTGGGAGTGAGGGTGAGGGTGGGAGTGAGGGTGAGGGAGAGGGTGGGAGTGAGGGCGAGGGTGGGAGTGAGGGTGAGGGCGAGGGTGGGAGTGAGGGCGAGGGTGGGAGTGAGGGTGAGGGCGAGGGTGGGAGTGAGGGCGAGGGTGGGAGTGAGGGCGAGGGTGGGAGTGAGGGCGAGGGCGAGGGTGGGAGTGAGGGCGAGGGTGGGGAGTGAGGGCGAGGGTGGGAGTGAGGGCGAGGGTGGAGGGGTGAGGGTGAGGGCGAGGGTGGGAGTGAGGGCGAGGGTGGGAGTGAGGGTGAGGGCGAGGGTGGGAGTGAGGGCGAGGGCGAGGGTGAGAGTGAGGGTGAGGGTGGGAGTGAGGGTGAGGGTGAGGGAGGGAGTGAGGGTGAGGGAGAGGGTGAGGGTGGGAGTGAGGGTGAGGGAGAGGGTGGGAGTGAGGGCGAGGGTGGGAGTGAGGGTGAGGGAGAGGGAGAGGGTGGGAGTGAGGGTGAGGGAGAGGGTGAGGGTGGGAGTGAGGGAGAGGGTGAGGGTGGGAGTGAGGGTGAGGGAGGGAGTGAGGGTGAGGGTGAGGGTGGGAGTGAGGGCGAGGGCGAGGGTGGGAGTGAGGGCGAGGGCGAGGGTGGGAGTGAGGGCGAGGGTGGGAGTGAGGGTGAGGGTGAGGGTGGGAGTGAGGGCGAGGGGAGGGGTGGGGTGGGAGTGAGGGTGAGGGAGAGGGTGGGAGTGAGGGCGAGGGTGGGAGTGAGGGTGAGGGTGAGGGGAGGGTGGGAGTGAGGGTGAGGGCGAGGGTGGGAGTGAGGGTGAGGGAGAGGGTGAGGGTGGGAGTGAGGGTGAGGGTGAGGGTGGGAGTGAGGGTGGGAGTGAGGGTGAGGGTGAGGGTGGGAGTGAGGGCGAGGGCGAGGGTGGGAGTGAGGGCGAGGGCGAGGGTGGGAGTGAGGGCGAGGGTGGGAGTGAGGGTGAGGGTGAGGGAGAGGGTGAGGGAGAGGGTGGGAGTGAGGGCGAGGGTGGGAGTGAGGGTGAGGGAGAGGGCGAGGGTGGGAGTGAGGGTGAGGGAGAGGGTGAGGGTGGGAGTGAGGGAGAGGGAGGGAGTGATGTGGGCGCGGAGCCCCCGGTGCGGGACAGTGCACGAGCTGCAGAGCTCTGAGTGCCCTGAAGCCTGGCGGGGGGGGGGGGGGGGGGGCGGCCTCTCTTAAACAATGTGGACGATTATAACCTTAAAGACGCGAGTTCCACCCACAAAACACACAGCCACTCCACTTTGCAGCGTATCCTGGGAGGCGCTCTCAGACGTCTGTCCGGACGACCCGACACACGCGCTGGAGCCGAGACCGCCACAACCGAACTGGAGGGGAACTCCCGCCTCCTCCCCCGCGCGATTGGTCGGGGGCCCCGTCAATCAAAGCGCGGCGCCGGCTCTGATTGGCCCCGGCCCGGCCGGCCCCGCCCCGTCACTCCAATCATCAACCGATCGATCAATTGGATCGATACCATCCGAAAAAAATAATATAAACGGCTCAGAAAATCGATCGATCGATCGATCAATAGATCATTTGAATATTTTTTTAAAAGAAAAAAAAACCGCGCGGTGTTTGTGAAGGAAAAAAAAAGGACATATATACACACACATTAATATATATATATTAAAACCGAGTTTTATTATACGTTTCGTAAGTGATTTACACACAAAAAAGGGGGAGAAGGGCAGTGTGTGTGGGGGGGGGGGGTGTGTGGAGGGTGTGGGGGGGGGGGGGTGGAGTGTGTGGAGTGGGGTGTGTGTGGGTGGGTGGGAGTGGGGTGGGGGGGTGTTTGGAGGGTGGGGGGGGTTGTGGGTGGTGGGGGGGGTGTGGGGGGTGGGGGTGTGGGGTGGGGGGTGTTGGGGGGAAATAATAACTCAAATAAAAGCACTACTTTAAACATTATTTCCGCGGCTTCGCGCCACTCGCCTCCCCGCCCGGGGCCGCCCGCACCGCCTCGAGCCGGGGGAGGGGAGGGGCGGGGCCGGGGTGACCGGAACCTTCCAGAAAATACATGACGTCATCCCGCCTCGCCACCGCCAGCGACACCTCCACCACCCACTCACCCCCCACCCCCCCCCCACACACACACACCGTGCGCGCGCGCGCGTGTCAGCGTGAGGGCGTGAGTGCGGCTGCCCCGCTGTTCGGCGCCGTACGCGGAGTTTTGCATCGGAAAAGTTCAGTGGCTTTTGAGGTGGCGGCGGGGGGGTAAACTGTAAGAGAATGATCTTCAAAGGTGGTGGGTGGGTGGGTGGCTGCGGACAACACGGACGGACGGACGTGTTTTCCCGCTCCCCGCCGAGAGCCGGGTGTTTTTTTTCACGCACACAGCGGCCTAAAACGCACACGCACACACACACACACAAAACAGCCGCCCGCCCAATTGGGCGTCAAAACCCGCCCAATCCGGCAGCGACCTCGCTCGATCGGTTGACGCCCACTCTCTCCCCTCCCCCCCCCCCTTTGCTCCACCCGCCTGCCCATTACGTCATCCCGCCGTGCACTTCGGCCCGGGAGGCGGTGTGTGTGTGTGTTGGGGGGGGGAGGCGGGGCCGGGGGCCGACTGGGGAGGAGGAGCCAAGAGGGGGGCGTGGGGGGGCGGGGCCGTTGCCGGGGCAACATGCCCCTTCTGTCGCCGCCCACCACGTAATGATCAGCCAATGGGAGCGCCGCGCGGTGACATCATGGTTATTTCGGGTTCATGACGAGCGGCTGATAAGCCCCGACCGGACTCCACGCTCCTCACTGATCACTCTCTCAGCAGAGCAGCGGCGCGGGTCACTCCGACTGCAGCACCGCACTGTGTATCACACACACACACACACACAGAGAGAGGACAGACACAGACAGACACAGACTGACAGACTTTATTATATGTGGTGTTTTTTTTCTTCTCAGAGGGTAACCCCTTTGGTCTGACCCCACACCTGTAACATTTTCTTCTTTTTTTAAAAAACTTCTTCTGCTCTTTCTTCTTCTTCTTCTTCTGCTTATTCTCCTTCCTTCTCCTCCTCCTCCCTCCTTCTCCCTCTCTGGCCCAAAGGGGATTTTATTTTATTTTATTTTCTCGGTGGTGGTGGTGGTGGTGGTGGAGGGGGAAGGTCGGATTTTGTTTTTGTTTTTAAATTTGTACAATTTTTTTTTGTACAGGAGTTTTTTTTTTGTCTTTCCCCCCCTCCCCTCCCCACCCCCCCCCCCCTCCCTAACCCCCCCCCTACCCCCACCCCCACCCCTCCTCCTCTCCCCATCCCACCACCACCACCACTACCAAAAACCCCAGAGAAGGACTTTTTTTTATTATTATTATTACTTATTACTTTGCTGCTCGTATCAACTTTTGTGTGTTGTTGTGTGTGTGATTTTTTTTTCAACCAACCAACCAACTCCCCCCCTCCCACCCACACCCCACACCCCACCCCTAAGAAAAAAGGACAGTTGGAGCCGGAGAAGGCCAATTTGTTTTGGGTTTGGGGAGGAGTGAGTCAGAACAGAACAGAAGAGAAGAGAGAGAGAGGAGAGGAGAAGAAGAAGAAGCGACTTCTACATGAAGACCTCTTGGCTTCAGACAGACTGCACAGTTACTTTGCTTTGAAACTCTTTCGCTGCAGTTGTCTTTTGGTGACCCCCCGAGTGGGAAAGACTTTGCACTCCCGAGAGAGACAGAGAGAGAGAGAGAGAGAGACACACACAGCCCCAGACCCAGAGTGAGAGAGACCCAGAGAGTTTGGGCAGTTTGGTTTGACTGTTCCTTCTCTATGTCTACGAGGATGGAGCAGCCTTTTTACCACGACGATGCCTTCGGGCAGCCGGAGAGCGCTGCCTATGGATACAGCCCCAAGTTCCTGAAGCAGAACCTGACCCTCAACCTGTCGGACCCCAACAGCAGTTTGAAACCCCACCTGAGGAACAAGGGCGCCGAAGGCATCCTGACGTCCCCGGACGTGGGGCTCCTGAAACTGGCCTCCCCCGAGCTCGAGCGGCTCATCATCCAGTCCAGCAACGGGATGGTCACCACCACCCCGACCCCCACGCAGTTCCTCTGCCCCCGGAATGTCACCGACGAGCAGGAGGGCTTCGCCGAGGGCTTCGTCAAGGCGCTGGAGGAGCTCCACAAGCAGAACGTTTTGCCCACCGCGGCGACCTGCCCGGGCACCCCGCCCGCGGGGACCACCCCGACCCCGGCCCCGGGCCCGGCCCCGACCTCAGCCCCGACCCCGACCCCGACCCCCGGGTCCTCTCTGCCCAACTCCGCACCTCCGTACAACTCCAACCTGCACCAGGAGCCGCCGGTCTACGCCAACCTCAGCAACTTCAACCCCAACGCCATCGGCGGCTACAGCGGCGACATGAACTACACACCTTCCCAACAGCAGCCTCAGCACCAGCACCATCACCATCACCATCACCACCAGCACCAGCAGCACCAGCACCCCCCGCCCCCGCCCCCGCCCCTCGCCCCGGGCGCCCCGCTCCCCGGGCAGCTGCACCCCAGGCTCCAGGCGCTGAAGGAAGAGCCTCAGACTGTGCCCGAGATGTCCGGGGAGACGCCGCCGCTGTCGCCCATCGACATGGAGTCGCAGGAGCGCATCAAGGCGGAGAGGAAGCGCATGAGGAACCGCATCGCCGCCTCCAAGTGCAGGAAGAGGAAGCTGGAGCGCATCGCCAGACTGGAGGACAAGGTCAAGAGCCTCAAGTCGCAGAACTCGGAGCTGTCCTCCACCGCCAACCTCCTGCGGGAGCAAGTGGCCCAACTCAAGCAGAAGGTCATGAACCACGTCACCAGCGGCTGTCAACTCATGTTAACCCAACAACTGCAGACCTTCTGACCGCCCCCCGCGGGGGGGGAGGGGGGGGGCGGCAATCCACAGGGAGGTGGGGGGGCAGAGAGAGAGTGCAGGGGTGCAGAGAGAGAGAGAGGGGGTGAAGAGAGAGGGGGGGGGTGCAGAGAGAGAGTGCAGGGGTGCAGAGAGAGGGGGGGTGCAGAGAGGGGGGGGGTGCAGAGAGGGGGGGAGTGCAGAGAGAGGGGGGGTGCAGAGAGAGAGGGGGGGTGCAGAGAGAGAGGGGGGTGCAGAGAGAGAGGGGGGTGCAGAGAGAGGGGAGGTGCAGAGAGAGAGAGGGGGGTGCAGAGAGAGAGAGAGGGGGGGGTGCAGAGAGAGAGAGAGGGGGGGTGCAGAGAGAGAGGGGGTGCAGAGAGAGAGAGGGGGGGTGCAGAGAGAGAGTGCAGGGGTGCAGAGAGAGGGGGGTGCAGAGAGAGGGGGGTGCAGAGAGAGAGGGGGTGCAGAGAGGAGGGGGGTGCAGAGAGAGAGAGGGGGTGCAGAGAGAGAGAGGGGGTGCAGAGAGAGAGGGGGTGCAGAGAGAGAGGGGGTGCAGAGAGGAGAGGGGGGTGCAGATAGGGGGTGCAGAGAGAGAGTGGGGGGCTGCAGAGGGAGAGGGGGGTGCAGAGAGGGCTGCAGAGAGAGAGAGAAGGAAGTGCAGAGAGAAGAGAGTGGGAGAGTGTGAAAAGGAATGGGAGAGAGAGTGGGGAAAGAGTGAGAAAGAAGGGAGGGAGTGAAAAAAGGGGGGAAGAAGTGTGCGTGTTGGGGGGGAGGGAGTGGGGGGGAGAACAACCCAATAAGCGAACCCAGAAGAGGACTTGAGTTTAAGTGACTGACAGAAAGATTAAACAGGGAGGAAATGTAAAAGGTTTGCCTCCTGTTGTGTGAAGGGGGGGGTGTGAGTGTGGAAGAAAGTCTGTGTGTGTGTGTGTGTGTGTGTGTTGGGGGGAGAGAGAGATTGCAAAAGAAGAGACCATTTGATGACTGAAAAGAAAATGCAATCTGTTGTTTCTTTTTTTAAACAACAACAACAACAACATTGGGGGGAAAAAAAAACATATCAAGTCATTTGTTTGGCTTCAGTTTTGCATGGACCTTAGAAATAAATGTACATAATCCGTTTTGTTCCACGGAAGTTTTTTTTTCCTGGCAACAAAACACCAGCGCTTTAAGTTGACCGCCTTTCCTTTGTAAGTTATTTTTTATGTTTTGCTCGTTTTGTTTTTTTTTAAAAAAAATAGAGGGGAGGGCTGGGAAGAAGAAGAGGAGGGAGGGAGGGGAGGGGAGAGGAGAGGGGCTGCTGGACCCAAATATTCTTGTAAATAAGATAAATTGAAGGACTCTAAGTTTACCATTTGTAATAAAGTATATAATTTTTTATGTTCGTTTCGGAGAACTGGGAGGCACAAAAAGTTTCATTATATTTAAGAAATGTATGAATAAATGTATTTGAAAAACCGATACATACACTGTTTTTTTTTCTTTGCAATGACTTTCTTTGACTGTTCAAGTGAAGCTAAGCTTTGGCTCAGTGATTGAAAGTGATTCCACACACAGTGGGGCGGGGATGGGGATGCACACAACTGTCCCCTTGTGGTTAAGTTTACTTTTATTCTGTGACGCGAATGTGATTCGAGATAAGTTCCTTTACATTTTGTGTGTGTGTATATTTATATATTACAGCATATTCTGTGAAGCGCTTTTAAACATTCTCAACAACGTGATAAGATAGATGCTATATCAAATGCAGGGATTATTATTATATGTATCTCAAGGCAAGTCGATTGGCGGTTCGCTTTTGCAGGGGTAATAATCCCTTCCAAAAAATATAATAGTAATAATAATTTGGTCACTCAAACCACGACCGTCTGGGTCACTCCTGTGCGCAATTGGCTACCGCGTTTCGACCCCGAAAAATGCAGTCAATTCACCCGACAGTATATTTATTCTGTGAAGCGTTTTGACAGGTCTCAACAACATGATGTGGACCTACGTCAAATGCAAGGATCATTATTATTATTATTACAAATCCCATTCAAAGTGGAAACGTACTAATGACGAAGTCCATGACAGTATTGAAACAAAGTATTGGGGTTGTGGGTGTTGTGATTTCACTTTTGCTTTATGCAGCCAAAGGATTTGAAGCTACGCTATGACTGTCCTGAACTGTTGTTTAAAACACCTGCACTGATTAACCTCAAATAACCACAGGCTGACTATTGCTGAGGGCAATTCTGATGCACTGTCACCTGAACGTTTTGAAAATACAGTAAATCGCATCAAGAGAGTTTGAACTGCAGACTTGAATGGCGAATTTGAAATACTTAATAAATGGAGGTGTTTCTGGAGGAGTGCGCATATTAAAGTGGTGTTTTAAGATCTGGGGTGAAGGCGAAAAAAGATATTAACTCAAAAGAGTTTACGTGTTATTCAGTAGATCTTGGGAATTACTTTCCGAAGCATAACTGTAGCTGGCTCTTGTGCTGAACAGATGCGTTAACTACTGCACTGGGTTGCATAATTAGGATTCCGAGAGGAATGCTTCACATTTAAGGAGAAAAGACCCGGAGACTTGTATTCCTTGAATGATTACATTAATGCTGTGCTCTACTTTAATTATAATCCTACTTTAAATGTCACACGGCAGTGGGGTTTCTTAATCCTATCTAAGGCCCAAATGATCATATTTAAAATCTACTTATCACCCGGATAGGGAACAGATAGGGAATGTTTAAAATAGGCATTGTGTAAGGTATTCTTGTTAAGTGGTGTTGTATTCAAACGCTAACAAACTCACAAATTCCAACCTTTTTTTTCAGGCTAGCAGATATTGTCTTTCTGTGGTTTAAACAGGCCAAGGGTTAATCTAGGATACTACTCTTCGACCGCGCCTTCGGTCACCCTTGTACCCCTGCCGTCTACCCCTTTCTCATCCCAATGCCCAGCTCTTGTCCATATCCCTGACTGTCCAACACCTTGGGATGTGCTCCCGATGTCAAAGGCGCTGTGCAAATGTAATTTGTTGTTGTAAAAAGAAAGTAACATGAGGAGCAAGTTGGAAAGAATTGGGCTTCCCTGATGCAAACTTAACTGTTTACTCTCTGGAATGAATATTTGGCCTTTGGAGGAAAATGGTTAACAGTTTAAAACAAGTCTAGAAATGGCAAGTCAACAACAACTTGCATTTGTATAGCGCCTCTCTCGCCGGGTAGCATCCCAGAGGGCTTAAAGTTAAGGATAAGGGTGTGCTTTCAACATCTTATAATTGGTGATGCCTTAAACGTGAATTTACATGATATTACTAATGCTGTCATAATAACTGCTTAATTTGAGACGTCATGAGGACTTCTCTAAGCGCTTCCATCCCAACAATCTAAGATATTTGCATGTGTTGGTGGGATGCAAGGAATTCTCAGATTTGTTTGGATGCTCTTAAGCATGGATTTCCACAGGTATCAGACAGAAACCCCCCCCCAAAAAAAATCAAAGGGATTCAACAGCATATACTGTAAAGTAGAGTAAAGGAATAAATTATTATGAGAATTATGTAAAAACGCAGAAGCAAAATGCTTTTATATTAAATATTAAAACTTGTGGCTAGAAAAATGAATCGCAGCCAGTGAGTTCAGCACATTTATTGAGGAGTAGAAATTGGGCATTAGAGAAAGTTTTAATAATAATAACAATCTTTGCGTTTGAGATAGTGTCTTATCATGTCATTGGGACGTCTCAAAGTGCTTCACAGAATACATAGTACGGTGGATTGACTGTATATTTTGTGGGTGAAACGCAGCAGCCAATTGCACACAGCAGTGTTCCACAAACAGTCATGGCGTGAGTCACCAAATATTTTTTTNCATGGAGGCATCATCACCCCTACCAATCGACCAACAACTGGGTACCTCTGCTAACGAAACAGTCATGTAGAGTAAAGGAAACTTGCCTAAGATTTTGCCCTGTCCGGGAATCGAACCCGGGTCCTTTCGCTTGCAAACGCACCAACCACTACACTACAGGATCTCAAGTTGCTAAGAAGTTAAACATTCCATTCCAGCATCAGTGGTGTATGAAAATAATAGCAATTAAAATCTTTAAAGATAGCAGATGTGGACGTATCCGGCAAAGTCACACTATGGTCAAACTACCTCTTTCTCTTTGCCTTTCCTCTTTCTCTCTCAGCAAAACATCTGTTAAAGTGAGTTTGAATTTAATAATCTCAGAACTAGCCAAGCAGCAGGTGGTTGTAGAGACTGACCTCCCCAATGGGGGAACATGAGTTAACGTGAGAAACGAGCAAAATACAAGTAAGACTGGGGGGTTGTATGAAACCGTAAGACCTGCTCTAAACTGGGACGAGGGATTATCAAAGGGATGTCTCCTCTTCTGCTTTGTGTTCCAGCGGATCAATAACACTTCCTTACAACTCCTTGGGGCAACAAGGGACATATCTAAGGGAGTTGAAGCCTTGTAAGGCTTTTTAGAGTTTTGCCTTTGTATGGTTGTGTATACGAGTGGTTGTGTGTGAGTGAGTGGCTGTGTGTATAAGTGGCTGTGTGTGTTTGTGTATAAGTGGCTGTGTGTGTTTGTGTATAAGTGGCTGTGTGTGTTTGTGTATAAGTGGCTGTGTGTGTGTATGAATGACTGTGTATATGAATTGATGTATTAATGGCTGCGGATGTGTGGCTGTGTGTGTGAGTGGTGGTGTGTATGTATAGTTGTGTCTGTGGCGGTGTGTGTGTGACGGTGTGTGGGTGAGTGGCAGTGTGTGTGGGTAGCTGTGTGTGGGTGACTCTGTTTGTGTGGGTGGCTGTGTGTGTGTGGGTGGGTGGCTCTGTGCGTGTGTGGTTGTGTGTGGGTGGCTGTGGGTGTGTGTGTTTGGTTGTCACGTCTGGCGTCCTTAGCCCTCTCCTCTTTAATATCTCCATGCTCCCCCTCGGTGACATAATCCGCAGACATGGGGTCAACTTCCACATGTACGCGGATGACACCCAACTCTTATCTTTCTGCCCCCACCCTCAACTCCAGGACCACTG